CCAAGCAGTCAGTGTGACCCAAATATTCAATCTATATTAGATCATTGGTCTTCACAATTAGGCATATTTGAGATGGATTTATGGAATATCCTTTACAGAGACTGAACCCTTGTTACTTTTGGAGGGATTCCTTGATTTTTTGGGGTTGTGAACTTTTCAATAGACCGAACATATCATATATGTTTGATATATAATGAACTCTTTAAATATAGATATTTTTTTTTCATATGTATATTGTTACATTTATTGTTAAGCTAGCATAGGGAGGATGCTACTTCATTTATGTTACATAATTTGTTCAAAATTACAACTTGGCTCTTAACTTATATTCAAAATGCTCAAATATGCGTCTTATTTAAAGCAAAATATGCCTTCCAGATAAACCAACTAATCTAAGTATTGAGAACAATGGTTTATATATAAGTTGGAATTGGCTTTGGGTTAGTGTTTAGTAAATGTGAGTACTCTAATGCTTTTTGTTTTTTTGTTTTTGTCTTTTTGTCTTTTGGGGTTTTGTTGTGTTTAGTGCCGATCTGATCAATCGAGCTTTTTCCAACTGATCTTGGGTTGTTCTTTAAATTATGTTACATTATTAAACGATAATCAAATAAATATTCCGTTACCAGGTTTACTTGCATGAAAGTTGTGTCATTGGCACCAAAGTTTTTAACCTTCAATCAGAAGATGTATTTCACAGTGGTTAGTTCAAACTACACCAGTTGGATGTATTATTAACCGTTGGGATGTATTAATAAATGTACGATGCATAACTATATTTGGGATGTGTAAATATATGAACGATGTATAATAACTACATGTAGGATGTGTAATTACATGTACTTCCTATATAACTACATCTGGGATGTTTACTTTGAGATCTTTTACTCAAGTACGTCTGCACCACTAGTTTGCAAAATACCTAGTTGTATCATCTGTGCCAAATTTGATATGTACTATTGCGTCTATTCTTATACAAAATCTTATTTTTATTTAAACAACGACTCTCCGCGCACCTTTAAGACCGAGAGTTTACACTTGCTAAAACGCTGATATTTGTGGCTTTTTTCGGCGCAAACGATAGATCTCAAGTACAGCAGTTGGCGTAGTCGTTGGTAGTATATTGTTTTCCCCTTTAATATGTTATTTAAATTTTCCGTCCATCTTTTGTTGATATAAATTTGTATAATTTCATGATAACAGTACGCATTCAGTATTACTTTTCACTAAACTAGTATATTCGTGTATATCTAATTTAAAGTTGTCATGATTTCAGATGTTATTTCTGGGCCGTTGATACATATGCTGATAATTAAGAAAATATTTGTAATCCGAAATATCTATTGATTTTTCATTTATTTGATATTTGATATTTGTTTTTAATTATTCTTGGTGTTGATGCATTATTTTATAAATCACAAACAAACGACTTTGTAGGAATGGTTGTTCACTAAATATGTATTGTCTAGGTAAGGATCGAGCACACCCTAAATTGCATATTTTTGAAATAAGTGTTATCAACTCCTACAACACTTATTAAACTTCGCCGGAATAAGACGTTATATATTGTAAAAATCAGTCGATTACTTCTCCAAGAGCATTTGCCATTTACAAAATGTGTAATTCTAGGATCAATTAACAATCTAGCTACAAGACACCCCATAAAGAACTTTTAGTATTAGTAAGAATACTTTGCTAATACAATTAACCTTCTCTACGTGTAAACACTTACAATTGGGTTATAGATTATTCAATATTTTACATCGTTAATTGTTTTCTTTTCTTTGGTTTATAGAGCTCTGCTCATCAAAAGTCCAGTAAATTAATTATATGTTATTCAATTCTTTACTTTTGAGTATCCTTACACAGTGCAAATAACTTTAGCGAAACTTCCATATTTATTTATTTTCATCAGAAAAGAACTGATGAGCTGTGCATGACTTTTATTCAAAAACATTGAGAGACATCGTGCATTAAATACAGGTAGAACAGGGTACAAAGGACATTAATGGAATATTTCTTTAGCTTGTCGAAAAGTTAAAAGGCTAACTTTCAGTATACTTCAAATTTAACTATAGAACGTAAGTAATTATTCAATAATGATACTACAGTAATTCATGACATGAGTTCGTTAAACACATTATTACTAAAAATTAATTAATAAAGCAACCAATCTCTTCATACCTTTGAATGGTTCATTCCCGGTTCTACAACATTTAAAGATAAAATTGATAAGTTTGATATAGAATTGTGAGCAAGTTTTAAAATGACAAAATATTACTACAATGAATACATTCTGGCTGTTTTCTGCTCTTTGGTCGGGTTGTTGTCTCTTTGACACATTCCCCATTTCCATTCTCAATTCTATTCTGGATTAAAACTTTAAACAACACAATTTATAACGAATAATTTCAATTACTATGATAAGCAGAAATTAAGTAATGTGTTACTGTTGGTAAAATTGAGAATGGAAACGGGGAATGTGTTAAAGAGACAACAACCCGACCAAAGAGCAGAAACAGCCCAATTTAAGGCCATCAATGGGTCTTCAACGCAGCGACGAAATCCCGCACCCGGAGGCGGGCTTCAGCTGGCCCATAAAAAATACTGTATACTAGTTCGGCGAAAATGGACGTCACACTAAACTCCGAAACATATAAATGAACCAAAATTAAAAAACATACAAGACTATGAAACAAAGGCCAGAGGTTCCTGACTAGGTGTATGCTTTATCTCCATTGCAATAAAACGCAACACACTATGTATGCCAACGGTTTTTGTGTGGAATATTATGTCAAAACAAACGATAAGAGAGTTTTAAGATGTAGTTAAACCAAGATGTCATTAAATGAAATTGGATACCCTGCATTTATCATGATTTCAATAACAAATGGTCAAATTGCTGAAAGACCCCGGCTCCTCCTTAATTATTGAAAACTATCATCCTGCATTGAGAAGATTATCTTGGTGTAAATCAGATAAACCCATTCGGGCTAACGCCCTCATGGTGTATTTAATACTACAAGTTTATAGGAATCAAATGCTTCGTTTTGTAGTTTTATTGGATTGTAAAAGCGTTGAACGTGCTTACAGTGTAGCCTCAGTCAAGACTTTTACATCCTAATAAAACGTTAAATGAAACATTTGTAAACTCGTGACGATTGAAAGCTAAGCATGTGGTATTAACACATTTCCACTATCAAAGACCTATATTTTAATTATTCTCTAACTTGACTAGATTGTTTTTGTAGTTGTATTATTTGGTTGATGTAAGACTGGTATACTTATAATTGCAAAAAAGTAAATGCAGGATCTATACGAAAAGTCATATTCACAGAGTAAAGAGCTTTTGATGTATTTGTATATCAAGTCGAACCATTTTTTTCCCAAATGTTCCATCCACGGCAATATGAGACTTAGCTGATCGAACCAAGGGGAAAATCCTAAAATATCAGGTCGAAAGAGAAAACAATTATACTTGATTAGCATAACGGTAGACAGTTTCACAATTAGAAGGTTGCATACTTTCAGTTTGCTTTAAGTAACTGCGAGATAGCTTTCTTTTATACAGTGTTAAATTGTATTGTTATATTTTTTCATTTTCATTATTCCGTAATACTTTGCTATATTGAGTACGTTCATGTTTGAGTTTGAGAATTTTTACTAAATTTATAAATCATTTGTTCTCGCATTCTGGTAAATGCGAATAATCAATTATCTGTATTCATTACCGCCAAATATATATGTCCCTGTCCCAAGCTAAGCATCTCGTCAGCAGTCATCACTATTTTTTCATATTGTTTTTTTGTCTTTTGAACATTTGGTATTGTTTTAGATATTTGTCATCTTAGACTCGAGGAGATGTATATCCTGGCCTGTCATAAGGCGTTGGCGCATGTCCATTATTTTGGCGATGATTTTTTTATCTCCGTGTAAATAACCTTTGTTCGGTTTATTATATATCTCTTTCATGTTGATCTCAAACTCTTTTCGTTTACAAGTTTAGTTTAGTAATCGAAAAGATCTTTTTCTATCGATTAGTGTTTCCACACAAAGGTTGTGCGACTTACGACAGTAACAATTTGTATAGCGTATTTTAGGTTTATAGCTGATCGATATTATTTCCCTAAAAAACAGGCATCGGGTGTCGCAGAATCCTTAACTCGTCCGCTTCGTATCCAAATTCATTGTTCCTGCATAGGTTTTATGTGTAACTTAATGAAGGGAATAACAGTAAATTGTCCGTCATATGGGTTTTAATGTAGTCTACAGCCCTTCTTTTCTATATGTTTTTTAACCATTTAAAAATCTAATCTATTCGGATAAAATATACGATAATTTCCATGGCTACTTATACTGTGACTTTTTATATTAAACCAACATAAAGCTAATAAAATTTCATCACATCAATCCTTTATAAATTTTTTTTATCGCTCTTGCATTCTGGGATCTTTTTTTACATTCTGGTCACTAGATGTTTTATCTTTCTAATAAATACATTGGATAGCATACCAAGAGTCATATGTTCATGTATACCCATATAGTATAGGGAGACTGAAAGTAGTTTGAAACGTCACGATACATTTTTCCTGCTAAGTGACATTTCATACTCACCTTAATCCGTAAACCATATACGCCTTCATCATAACAAGTACCTGAATTATTATCTAGCTCTGACATGATTTCAACATTGGTGCCATCAATGGTGTCATGTTGATTATTCTGTACATATATAATTAAGAATAAATTAATTTTGTCAATTCCCTAGATTCTACTCTGTTATGTTACTTGTCATCATTGTCATATCATCCGGATCATCTCAGTAACCAATGCCGATTTAATAATCACTTTTATCGGTTCTAGAATATATGAAATATAAATCTAATTAATGCAAGAAATATCGATAGTCTACAAAAACTTTAAATGAAATTCGCTTCATGGTTTCTGAACAAAGCAAAACTTGGTTCTACTAATTAAGCTATGTCATCCAACTAATGGTTTGTTTGATTATTGATAGATAATGAGGATTTTTTTGTGGTTTTTTTTTCAGACCAACAAACATTTAAATGCTGCTATAAAAATGTGTTATTTGGTTATTCAATGCATTGACGTTTTGTAATATGAATGAAAGTGGTACACCTGGTACGCATGATGTTATTTTTTATTCTTCGAACGATATTGATGACATCAAAGTTCTTTCAACACAGATAATTCATGTAGAATTACCAGTAGATTCTGCATTTGGAATAGATAGAAAAGAAACACCAGAGGAGGAACATCGAAGAAAGAGAATTAATCGCCTAGTCGGATTCTTCGCTTCATTGATTTTCCTAACATGTGTTGTTCTTGTTTGCTCTTCCATGATGATGTCAAAAAATATTGATGAACTCGGTAAGACAATAACAAAATCTTATTTTATTGTAGCAGCTTATAATATAATGTCATACAGGTACATGTATATAAAAACGTACGTAATTCCTGCATGTTCCATTGGCCCAATCTTACGGTGTGTATATATCGTTCTCTATTCCATTGTCTGTATAGTGACGTTTTGGATTTCAACGAACGTTATCTATGTATTACTGGTAAATTATCGAGGTCAAGGATTTTGTTACTCCAAATTAATTAAAACCTTTACTAAATTCTTTCATAGCTACAAAGATTTGGTCTGAAAGTTTGGCTGTACCTTTTCAACTGATTTTTCTAATGTTTTGTTGTTGTGCTAATACACCACTGTCCCAGGTTTGTGGGAAAGTTAATTTGCGCCAGGAAACATGTTTGACCCTGCCACGTTCTGTATGTGCCTGTCCGAAGTCGGGAGCATGTAATTCAGTAGTTGTCGTTTGTTGCTGTATATTTTATTTGTTTATTGTTTTTGTACATAAATCAGGCCGTTAGTTTTCTTGGTTGAATAGTTTTACATTTGTCATTTCGGGACCTTTTATAACTTGATATGCGGTATGGTTTTTGCTCGTTGTTGAAGGCTAAACTGTGACCTATATTTGCTCAATTCTACGTCATTTGGTCTCTGGTGGAGAGTTTTCTCATTGGCACTCATACCACATCTTATTTTTCTATAGTAATATCTATACTATTAAAAGGTTCTATTTGGTTGTTTGGTCTGTGGTCAGTGTTGGACTGAAAAGTTCGAAATTATAAGAGTCCTTGGAGATTTTATTAAGTCCGACCATTCAGTTCATCCTCTCTCTCTTTCCCTGTGTGTGGTGTGGTGTGTTGTGGTGTGGTGGTGGTGATGGTGGTGATGGTGGTGGTGGTGGTGGTGTGTGTGTGTGTGTGTATGTGTGTAACACTGTGCTTTTTAATAACGTTCACTTACCATTTTTTGTAATTATTGAATTTGATGTTCATTTTATTTTGACTTAGTTTTCAATAGAAACACACTATTCTTCTATTTACTTTCATTTTAAAAAAATCCATGTTTTTATGAAATATAGAGTCAACAATTTATTTAAAATAAGACGACCCCTCACCCCAAAAAATTACGAAAAATGGTCGATGCCTTTATCAATCACAGCTGATAATTATATTCAGGTTTGCATTGTATAGTTCACAATATTCCCGCGATATTTGAACTTTATCAATCAATATGATGGTTAATCGTATGAGAAAAAGATCCTAACACCTTCAAGAAAGTAAGACTTGAAAATCTCAAATACCCTTTGGTAAATTTTTGTTTATATGATTCTCGGACTCGGACAAGTCTCGTTAGAAACTGGAAATATTATGAACATATCTGATCTTTCATGGTCTTGCTTCATATTTTTTTTTTATTAAATGTAAATTAAACAATTGTTTCAAAGTTGACATCTAATAATTTAAAAATTTTCTACTTGCAAATAAATGGAACAAAATCCGCCCATCGTTCATACATAATATATTTTCTAGATTTGCGTCAAACGAATGAAGATTTATAGCATTTTATTTCAATGTCAATAAAATCTTCAAAAAGAAATTGAACCTGTTTCCTGTTTTTATTTTATTTTTGGTACTACATTACAGTACAGCAAAATATTTATATCTTGCTGATAATTTTCTTGAAGTGCACCAGAAGATATTTACGTCATACCACCGCAAAAGAAGTACGTATAATGACGTTTACAATCTGTCTGCTATTGCCCACTTAACACAAATGAAACGGAATTACTATGTATATATTTTATCATAGTTTTAGCATTCTGCAGATGTTTATTGAGAAACAACATATCACAAGTGAGTAATGGAAAACGACAATTGTGTGTTTTTTGTGAAAATTAATGTAACCGACGAATCGGACAAATTTGATTCAATTTCAGTTGAGGAAGATATGCCAGGGAAGATATTATTTACACATCTTATCGACGATTCTGGCAATTCTGATACATTGTCTATACATCAGGAGATCATTGGAAATATTCCTTTATCATCACATCAAAAGAAACATAGAAAATCAATTTTAGATGATTTTAAACTATTTCAAGACGAGTCTACACGTAAAAATTTAATACGTGCCATTATTATTCTTACTTGTATGTTTATTTTGTTTAGTGGAATTTTACTAATAGTTACACTAAACATGTCAGAAGTAATAGACGATAAAGGTAAGGATTCGGTTCTCAATGCTAAGTAGTTAACCTATTTCTCTAACGTTAGTCTATTGTTGTAACAGTAGATTATTTTTTAAGAATCAACTGACCACTGTGTTAACTTAAGATATTAATCTCATAGATAATTAGCTTCTGTAGTTTATGAAATATATATTTTGTTTTGGTTTGTTTATGTTCTTTTCAATTTTTAGTTGATTTGTTTTACTTTGGATGAAATTGTTTATTTAAGGAACATTGAACGTTCTGGAGTATAATTATATTGCAATTTCAAAATATAGAATGACAACGGTAGAAAAGTAAAAAGTGAATCGATCATTTTCTTTAAAATCATAAAAAAGAGTTTATCCATATGCCCATTACACTTGTCACTTTTAATTTTATAATACTACCAGTAGTATTATCATATCAATCAATTTTTCTTTTTTTGATTGAATGAATGAATGAATGAATGAATATTTTATTGCAAAAGCAAACATAATGCTATAGCAAAATAACATAATATATAATGACAATAATGACAGTAAACATGCAGAGAACAACACAATGAAGTCATAACAAGCACAGAACTACAACTGTTATGCAATAATAATTTGTAATCTTAACTTCCATGCCGCATTAAGAAATTTACACAATTTTTAGTTAAATTCTTTGAGCGAGCCTGTAAAAGAAATACAAGCTTTCTATTATTTGGCCATGAACAATAAAATTTTTGTAAAACCTGTAGCCTCGATGATCTAAAGGCAGGGCATACTAAAACAAAATGGTACTCATTTTCAATACAATTCATATGACATCATATACATATACGATTTTCTCTTACAATATTGTCAAAACGACCAACTTCTATATTCAGTTTTAATGTTCCACTACGTAGTTTAGTGAGTATATTACTATTAAAATCATATTTTAAGTAATCTTCTAAACAAAACTCATTTTTCAATTTCCTATATAAACATAGTTTTTCACAATCGTTCAAAATAGCAAACCATTTCTGGTAGTATTGATCATTTATACGACATTTTTTATATTCAAATGTAACACTAATCTTCTCTTGATCAATCCATACATGATAATTCATACCTAAACTAAATAATAAATCGCGAACATTTGAAACCCAGTTTCTCTTACCATTTAAGGCATCAATGCGTAGGAGGTTATAAATATCATATACAATATTAGGTTTATCATATATTATATGCAACCAAAACTTTATAATTCTATGTTTCCTTAAAATAAACATAGTTAGATGACCAAGTTCACCACATAAAAATGCGATTGGTACATTTTTACCAAGCTTTAATATAAAACGACAGAAACGATTATGAACGAGTTCAATGACATTGGCTCGATGAAATCCCCAAATTTCAGACGCATAGTTAAGTATAGAGGCCACCATACTATTAAACAAAAACATGCTTGACTATGTTCAATATAAACTCGCTTGAGTGTGTCGAATAAGGAAGAAAATGCCCTTGCTCCTTATTGAGAAATCCTTTTCTGTGAGTGCAAGAACTTTCCATTGAAATGTAGCAACATGCCTAAGTATACATATAAATTTACAATTTTTAGCTCCTGGTTGTCAAAGAAAAAGCGGTTATTAACAGGTTGTCAACCATTTCTGAAAACGACTACTTTTGTCTTGTCGGTATTAACAGTAATATTCCACTTTCTACAATAAATTGAAAGTTTTTCTAGTAAGACTTGTAATGTTTCGGCAGATTTTCCTAACAGGACGGTATCGTCTGCAAACAAAATTAAATATACTAGATATCCATTGATGTTAAAAACACCGTTATCATTGTCCATAGGAATATCTTGAATAATGTCATTCACGAAGAATAAAAACAACAGAGGTGATAATGGTTCACCTTGTTTCACTCCCAAGAAATTATCAAAAGCCTTTGAAAATTCACCGTCAGTGCGAATTCGTAGATGAACAGTTTCATAGACTGCCTTTATGATTGAAACAAATTTCGTGCTTATACCACTCTTTAATAGTTTGTACCATAGAATTCTACTGATAACCTTGTCGAATGCCTTACGAAAATCGACGAATGCGCAATATAATTTTGATTTCTATTGTAGAATATGTGTTATAATACCATGTAGTACAAATTTAGCGTCTACAGTAGAGCGGCCAGGTCGAAATCCAAAATGGTTATCGATAAGTATTCTTCATATCCTCAGCCCAGCTGAGTAATCGTTCGGTTAATATCGATGTAAACTGTTTTGATAAAACACTCACTAAGATGATAGGTCGATAATTATTCGGATCTGTTAAGTCACCACTTTTTGGAACCGCTATTACAATGCCTTCCGATCACGTATCAGGAAAAAAGCCATTTTCAAACATAAAGTTGAAGAGAGTTTTAAAAATAGGAGCAAAGAACACTGGATTCTATGACAACATTTGGGTGATAATGGAATCATTCCCGGCAGACTTTCCAGATTTAAGTTTATTAATAGCACGTATAATTTCATCCTCCAAGATTTCATTATCTAAAGAGTCTATTGTAATAGTGTCTAAAAATGAGATATTTTCAATCAGACCAATGACTTCTTCACATATATCTGAAGGGTCTCCCCCTAGCAACTGTTCAAAATGACGCAACAACAAATCACAATCAGCTAAACACTTTAATTTCTTTCGCGGATTAACTGCAGACTAAAATTTACGTGGGTTCGTTTTAGCTATTTTGCAAAGTTTAAGTGCTTTGGCACGTTTGAAACTGGCTCGATCTACACGTTTAGCCTTTTTGTAACTATTCCGGACTAAGATATATAATA